AGCACTGACAAAATACCATCGCCCACGACATCTTTGAAAATAAGACCGCCGTACGTGAATACGGGATTGATACCTGTGGCCTGCTGCAGTACCTGAAGAAGCATGGCGATGATCACACGCTTGAGCACCGAAGGCTCCATAAGCTCCTTGTATCCTCCTGGCTGACCTTCTCTCGCTATCTGCGCACCGATAGCTCGCAGTTCTCGTCCAATTTTCCGTGTTTGTCTAAGCTGCTTAAGCACAGCAGAGGCTGCATCCTTTCCCTTGTGCAGATATGTCCATCGAGGACTCTCCGGCACAAAGAAGATGCCGAGCATGACGACAATTGGCGCTGCCATGGCCACGCCATTGGTAATTCTCCAGCCCCGCTCGTGGTTCTCGATGATTTGGTTGACAATATTAGCAGAGAGCAGTCCTGTGACGACTGTCATCTGCATAAACCCCGATAGAAAGCCTCGTAGCTCCTTAGGAGCCATCTCCGCTCCAAAGAGCGGCAGTGAAAACGAAGAGTTGCCGACGCCCATGCCCTGAATAAACCGTGCGATGAGTAGTGAGCCATGTGCCTGACTGGGACAGAAGGCGAGCCACGATGTGCCGAGACAGAAGAGCGAGCCAGCCTGGAAAATGGTGAGTCGGCGACCAAACTTGTCTGCGATCCACCCGCCGACGATGGCACCAACCATGCAGCCGATGTTGTATGTCATATTGTACCACAGCGTATAGTCCACCCAGCGCTGCGGTAGCTCCGCCGTGGCTCGCGTACAATCCGTCATCGTTTGACCGTGCCAGCCCACGCAGAAGTCGTTAAGGAACGACTCCATGACCAGCACACCACCCGTCACGCCCTGGTCGTAGCCGAAAAAGATACCACCTAGTGACGCGAATATGCACACGATGATGGCGTACGTTCGGTTTCCCTCCGTAGGCGTCAGGTCTTGGCGCCCTTGGTCGTCGTAGAAGTTCATCGCCACGCCCACCATGATGGCCTGCTGTGTCTGTGCCGCTGAGGGTTTTGTGTCCTGTGTGCCTGATGCCCAGGAGGTCTGAGCTTGATGTGATGTGTATTTAGAGTGCGGTCTTGCCCGGATTGGAGACCTGTCGAAACGTCCGTCTGACTGTATTCGCCACAGGTCGATCTCAAGTCGACGGCGCTGCGTCTGTCTCTCCTCGCAGCATGCGGCTAAAAGCGAAATGACCGGCAGGTAGAGCATGTCGTGAAAAACACGGTGCCAATTAACTGTGACATTAGATAGCCTTTGTCAAACTGATGAACTGATTTTATACGCTAGATAAGATTTGGCTCAAATGGATGTTGTGATATTGCATATACATGTGGAGAGTTTTATCGAATTGGAGTTCACAGGTGCTTTTGCGAAAGTTCAAGTCTCGGTTTAAGGCAATGACGCAATTCGATGAAGCGACACAGTGGCCATTTGCAGAGGATGTTCGTATCGACAGTAACCGTAATACGAGGCTCTGCAATAGTGCAACCCTAAGCGTCATTTGTATGCAAGCAGACGACTTCGACGCTGAAGATGGCACCGCAACTCGCAAGTCTTTTTGGCGCAAGACGTCTTATTACTGCCTAACACATCACCAGCAGCCTGCTGGCAGCAGGTTGCCACTTAACAGAAGTGGATGCCATACACGGTGTATTATCGGTTCAACGGCGTCGATCATTGCGCTGCACTCGACCACGTAGCCAGACTACCATCACCGATGCTATATCGGCCCTGACGTCGATGCAGACCAATGCTACGAGCAATGTAGACTGCTGCTCGCGCGCAATTATTAATAATGAGGTCTTGAGCGTACGGACTTGAATCGCCAGAATGCTAGGTTGAGGAGCTCGTTGGTATACGAGATTGAAAAGATGGCACCCTTACATCTGCTCGAGCGATCCTAACAGTTTAAAAGATAGACAGTGAGCTTGCATCTTTAAAGTTTAACGAATGGCTCGCCTCAGAACACACAGTATTAAAGAGTTGTGTTCATTGTGCAAAAAAAAAAAACTTGCAAGTTATAATCTCCCATCTTTCTCCATGTAATTACGTTTTCCTGCATCCCAACGCCGCAGTCATTGACTCATTCAATGAAGGCAGACGCTAGATGTACTACCAACAAGACTCGCTTTGGTCGTCATATTCTTGCGCTCACTTCAACTCACTATTCCTGTCTAATCCAATTTATAACATCCAACGATTGGTTAAATTTTGATCTGAGACCGCTTATAACTGGCCAAAATACGGCAATAGGAATCCCAAGTGGACCCT